TCATTAAATTGTTGAGTTGAAAACCATCCGATCTGTATGATGATGTCATGTGTTGGTTTTGAAGTATACAAATTTTCGGAGCCCCCCCTCCTAGCGCAACAATTTTTTCAGAGCCCCCCCCTTCGGGTGTCTAAAAATTTTCGGAGCCCCCCCTCAATATCTTCATCCCCCCCCCCTTGTCATATTAAATGAACTTTCCCTTAGATTTTACTAGCAAACCTTTGCTGGTCAGTTAAGTCCTTTGCTAAAAGATGTTTGCACCGACCTCTTTGGTGTTGGGATCAATCAAAAATAGAAGTTGGACGCACGATTATCGCAGGAAGCATCATAAGTGTAGTTTCAGTCTCTCACAACTAAAGGTTTAACTGAGGTTAAGAAACACCTCTTCAAGCTTATTCAGAAACACAGAAACAAGTTCAAAAGATAGAAATAGGTAGATGTATTCAGCTGTGGAATAGGAAAACAAACGAGCGTTTCCTGTTAACGAAGTTCGTTTACTTAAACCTGGAGTTGGTTCTCCCTTTCGCTTCCAAACTTGAATCATAATCAGATTTCCTGTCTTATTAAAATCTAGGCCACGCGTCCTAACACCTTTCGAGTTCTTTGTTCTCTGTTGAACTAGTTTTAGCCAAATTTCACTTACTTTTCTGTCCTCAAACTAGAATTTCTTTCGACACAATCTTAGGAAAATTTAGTTTCTTTCAAACTATTGTTTTGGTTCCCTGTAAAGGAATTTGGGTATAGAGATATTTCTAGTTTTGCAAATTTCTTCCACGCTTAGTGGGAATCAACTCAATTTCAGTTCCTTTTGTTCTCTAAACTCTGACACTTGCTAACACCTTTTCCTTGCATATGAATGCCATGTAAAACTGTAAAAAATCAATTAACTTAATAGTTCAATACAAATAGAACCTCTTGTGAGTAGCTTCACAGTTACGCCTTGAGATCTGAGATAGCTAAGAGGAGTTTGTAACTTCAACGGTAAGATTAAAACCATCGTCAACTGCCAAACTCTGGTTGTGTCACCTCTCTTCACATAATCCTAAAGTCTGTAGAAGTCCCCCTCTAAATTTGAATTGGAGTTAGCAGGTCCAAAGGGAAGACAGAACTTGATAGCTCAATTTGGTTGATGGGATATTATTTGTTCTAGACGGATGGCTTCGGTTTTATATCGTGTTATAAACGAGTTCGAGTGTGTTAACATTTAAAGAAAAAAAAATAAACTGTTCGTGCGCAGTAATTCACTCCCTTTTTAAAATTTATTTTGGCTGAAAGCATCACAAGAAAAATTCTGCCAGGGATAGACACTTATTACTTTGAATTTACTTCATGTGTTATTAAAACTTATAACGAAAGGCGAGCGCCGGTGGAGAAAACTAAGCAGTACTGTGTAGGCTACCACAAACAGAGCCGTGTTTCAATTGTCTCAAACTAGTAGTAAGAAAGTACTGCCCGCTGTAGAAAGTAATGAATTATTCATTATTCTACCCTATAAGTGAATCTGTCGGAAAGTCGAAACAAATACACAAAGCTGGTGTCAAGTGAGGAAAACAGCGTGGTATGCGAAAAAGTACCCTGCACTGACTTTGGTTACGTATCGAAATATCTTGTGAGTAATATTTTAGCTTTTGAATTAACACAGCCAAAAGGGCATTCAATCCTCTACCGTATATACACAAGTTGAGATTCAAATATAAACAGGCTAGGTGTTGCATACCTCCAATCTGTATATATATAGAACTGAGTTTTATGTCCAAGTGAAAAATTGTGTTAACCTCCATGCATCTCTATACTCTGTAGCGGTTTTCATGATATTAAAATCTTTAGAGTGCGTTAGTTTTAGTCTTTAATTAAGCTTCATCCTGCAAAATAAGGCTCACTTTTACAATATCTAATCTATTTTCATCAGCTTAACTTTAGTTTGTTTTGAAAATTGTCCAATTTCTGGTACTCTACCCATATATGGAGCCTCTACAATAAGGCCCCCTAAACATTAGTCGACACATTATTTAATTTTTTTGAAGTGCTTTTGAGCTTGAAAGTTAATTCAGCTTGTAATAAATTCTTCAAGACTCAGTGTCCAGTTTCTTGAACTCACAATATTACAGAGCCTTTGTCTTAAAGCACCAAGCCCCACCTGGATCAGGATGATACGTAAGGTGTACCATTTACATGTTATATATATTTGATGTTCATAAAATATTCATTAGAAGCATATTCGCCCGGGGGGGGGGGGAACTCCCATATGAAACAGACGGGGATGCTCGTCGGAAATTTTGAATTTAACCCCTAAAGGAGACCATCTGGGCGTGGCTCAAGCTTTTTGTGACCCCGAAAGGAGACCAATCTGGGCGTGGCTTAAGCAAATTTTGACCCCTAAAAGAGACCGCTTAAAAACACACAAATATGACATGCAATGAGTTTTAATGATATAAAGACATAATCATCGAATGCTTTTATCTAAAAGTAGCTTTTAAAAGCATTGTCATAAATCTCAAGTTCTTCGCTGAACCCTAAACGAGACCTTGGCGGCTTAAAATATTGGCACTTTGCCCGGAACACCCTAAGCGAGACCAAAATCCAAAATTTACACCTCTAAGCGAGACGACGAGCATCCCCGTCTGTTTCATATGGGAGTCCCCCCCCCGGGCATATTCGATAGGTGGGAATTCCAAATTATTGAAAGCCGCCCCACAAAGATTTTATCCTTGTTGCTTACAAAATATTTTCGCCAGAATGTTTTTAACTGCTGCTCGTAGCTCACGAAGACGCCAACAGTACAAAAGTGGATTGATGGTAGAATTTACATAGATGAAGGTTACTGTAAAAATACAAGCTGAATTTTTGGGGAAAATTTTGCCGCCGATAGAAAAACGACAAATGAACCACGGAATATAACAGAAACAAGTGCAGATAAAGAATACTAATGTGTTAAACGCGATGTGTTTTTCTGACACCATGTTGTGTGCATTTACTCTTGTGTTGAAACTTTGAACAGCTCTTTGCTGCATCAAAACCTGCGACTGATGACGACGAACGATTCGGTAAATATAAATGTAGCAGATTACTGTAACAAAACTGTAAGTTCCTGTTAAAGCGTTGGCAATATAAAGAAGTGCAGCTACATTGAAGAACCAAATACACGACACAACAACGTGGAAAAGCCAGACAAAAGTAATTGTGAAGATGACCCGAGAAGTTGTGACCAAAATCTTGTACGACATGTGATATTGAAGGGCTAGGACTCGGTCAACACTTATCAATGTCATTGTTGCTAGTGATATTGCACAGAGGCCAATCGATATGACGCCTGACATATTCACTATAGACAAATTTAGCGTTAGTTCGCGGGATACGAAGATTGGTTGTCCTATCAACCCAA